GTGCCTGTAATCCCAGCTACTCAGGAGGCTGAGGCAGGAGAATTGTCTGAACCCAGGAGGCGGAGGTTGTGGTGAGCCGAGATCTCACCATTGCACTCCAGCCTGGGTAACAAGAGCGAAACTCCGTCTCAAAAAAAATAAAATAAAATAAAATAAAAAAATAAAAATAAAAATAAAAAAAAGACGGCAGAAGATTACCCAAGGGAATTCCAGTGGTTTGTTGGGAAGTGCATAGAGGAGCGGCAGTGGAAATAGTTGTCTGTGTAGTCACGGGTTCTGAGATGTGTGGAGTGCAGTTGATATGAGGAGCAAGTTGCAGTAGGAAATGTCTGAGGAAGTTTTGCTGAACTTTTCTAAGAAATAGAGAAGCTTCATGTGAGGGCACAGATGGGACTGTTAAAAGAGGTTTGGAGGTGTAGGGAGACGGGAGAGGTAACCCAGTCAGCTGGCAAGGCAGGAGTAGTGGTGTAAGAGGAGGAAGAACGTGATGCGGAGCCAGCGTTAAGGTTGAGTTGGACTGGCTTAGCGAAGCATGGGTTAAGGGTTTTTACAGGGAGTTGGAACTAATAGGTGCAATTATGTGGGGCAGCCAAGGGAGCAGGAGGAACAGGCAGAAAAGTGACATGGGGTGCCTTGGAAAAGAAGGTTATTTATCCACTTCAGAAGAGAGTTAAGGGTGGCCGCTGGGGTGGAACCAGGAAATGTTTCGGCACACAAAATGGAGGAAGAGGGTGAAGGGGCAGGGCAGGCAGGAGCAGGGTAATTCAGCTTCCTCAGAAATTCGGGCGAGTTTTAGAGAAGCTGGGGAGCGTATCGAGTTTGTTGCTACAGGATGGATGGGGAGGTGGTTTCCCGCACCCTAGGGTTAACGTAGGGGGACATAGAGGAAGCCATTGAGGGAGGTACAGGTTCGGGGAGGAGGATGGGATGAGGTGTGGCTGTAGCCCCAGGAATGGTGAAGGAGCAGACAATTCTGCTAGGATATCTCTGCCTCACAGGGGAACTGGACAAGGGGGGATGATAAGGAAAGAATGTGGAAAGGAGTGCTGGCCAGGCCGGGCGCGGTGGCTCAGACCTGGAATCCCAGCACTTTGGGAGGCCGAGGCGGGCAGATCACGAGGTCAAGAGATCAAGACCATCCTGGCCAACATGATGAAACCCTGTCTCTGCTAAAAATACAAAAGTTAGTTGGGCGTGGTGGCGCGTGCCTGTAGTCCCAGCTACTCAGGAGGCTGAGGCAGGAGAATTGCTTGAACCCAGGAGGCGGAGGTTGCGGTGAGCCGAGATCGCACCACTGCACTCCAGCCTGGCGACAGAGTGAGACTGTCTCAAAAAAAAAAAAGAAAAAAGAACAAAGAGACAAAGAAGAAAGCAGTGCTGGCCTAAATGACACCAGAGTTGGGGGATTTTGAGAGGCCTGGAAATCTTGCCATCAATTCCCACAGCAGTTATGGAGGCCAAGGAGACAGGTTAGCGTGGAGCTGGTGGCCCCGTGTTGATTAAGAAGGGGATGGCTTACCCCCCACTGTAAGCGTTACCTGAATCTCGGCCCCCATGAGAGTACAGGGGCTTCCGAGATCTTTGGGTAGCGTCGGTCTTCAGCCGCCAAGCCGAGGAGCACCGACGTGAGTCCCACAGTCCGACTTCCAGTGGGGGCCCGCATAGATGGGACAGGGCTTAGGAGTCCTGGGCTGCGGGCGTTCCTTGGCCCGGTGGCCAGGTTTCCAACACTTGAAGCAAGGTCCAGGAGGGGCGGCTGGACCCTGCCGTCTGGGCGCTTTGAAGGCTTTGTGAGCCGGTGGTGTCTGGGGTTTGTCTTAGAGTCAAGCATCTGTAGTTCTGAGATGCGCCACCGCCAGGTGGCATCTTCCCTGGTATTCCTGAAGATTCACGAACGTTTTTTGTTTTTGTTTTTGTTTTTGTTTTTTTTTTTGAGACGGAGTTTCGCTCTTGTTACCCAGGCTGGAGTGCAATGGCGCGATCTCGGCTTACCGCAACCTCCGCCTCCTGGGTTCAGGCAATTCTCCTGCCTCAGCCTCCTGAGCAGCTGGGATTACAGGCACACGCCACCATGCCCAGCTAATTTTTTTGTGTTTTTAGTAGAGACGGGGTTTCACCATGTTGACAAGGATGGTCTCGATCTCTTGACCTCGTGATCCACCCGCCTCGGCCTCCCAAAGTGCTGGGATTACAGGCTTCAGCCACCGAGCCCGGCCCGGATCTCCTCTAAATGTAGGCTTGACCCCCTGGGCTCAAGCAGTCCTCATACCTCAGCCTCTCAAGTAGCTGAAACCTCAGGCATGAGCCACTAAGCCCAGCTAGTTTTTGTGGGGGTTTTTTGTTTTTGTTTTTGTTTTTTAGAAATGGGGTTTCACTATGTGTCCCAGGCTAGTCTCAAAATCCTGCTCTCAAAGGATTCTCCTGCCTTGGCCTTTCAAAGTACTGGGATTATAGGGACGCACCACTGCGCCTGCCCTACATGGTAATTTCCTTTTTTTGAGATGGAATTTAGCTCGTTGTGCAGGCTGGAGTGCAATGGCTCAATCTTGGCTCTCCAAAACCTCCGCATTCCCAGTTCAAATGACTCTCCTGCCTCATCCTCCCCAGTAGGTGGGATTACAGGCATGTGTCACTGAGTCCGGCTTGTTTTGTATTCTTTTTTTTTTTTTTTTTTTTTTTGAGGAGGAGTTTCGCTCTTGTTACCCAGGCTGGAGTGCAATGGCATGATCTCGGCTCACTGCAACCTCCACCTCCTGGGTTCAGGCAATTCTCCTGCCTCAGCCTCCTGAGTAGCTGGGATTACAGGCACACACCACCATGCCCAGCTAATTTTTTGTATTTTTAGTAGAGACGGGGTTTCACCATGTTGACCAAGATGGTCTCGATCTCTTGATCTTGTGATCCACCCGCCTCGGCCTCCCAAAGTGCTGGGATTACAGGCTTGAGCCACCGCGCCCGGCTTGTTTTGTATTCTTAGTAGAGACAGGGTTTCACCATGTTGGTCAGGCTGGTCTCCCATCTCCTGACCTCAGGTGATCTGCCCACCTCAGCCTCTCAAAGTGCTGGGATTACAGACGTGAGCCACCTCACTTGGCCCACTGCCCCAGTTTCACCCGCCCCCTAGAAAAAGAAAAAAGAGTGACTCAGAACTGAGTAAGTCACTGCCCCCTGGCTGAATAGGGATTCCAAGAGATTCAGTGGGGACCTCAGGTGATCTACCCAGCCTGACCTCCCAAAGTGCTGGGATTACAGGCGTGAACCATCACCCTTGGTTTATAGTGAAGAGGGAAAAAGACTGGAAAATTAATAAAACAATATAATATGGGATTAAAATAATTGAAAATAACTTTTGCTAACTGCTTGTGAAAGTTCCCCCCACCCCACGGCACAAGTTAAAGACAAATATTAACTGCCTCTGTTCCTTTCTGCAGAATGTTCACCTAATCTATCCTCCACATTCCTTAGGGAGTTTTGTAAGTTCCTGTTTTTCTTAGGCAACAGCTGCAAGGGCACCACACAGAAAAAGGAAGGAGCACATATGTCTTTTAAAATATAGGACATGTCAGGCCGGGTACAGTGGCTCACGCCTGTAATCCCAGCATTTGGGGAGGCCAAGGCGGGTGGATCATGAGGGCAAGAGATTGAGACCATCCTGACCAACGTGGTGAAACCCTGTCTCTACTAAAAATGCACATATAAGCTGGGCGTGGTTGTGGCTGAGGCAGGAGGATCACTTTGAGTTCGAGAGACAGGTTGAAGTGAGCTGAGATTGCACCACTGCACTTCAGCCTGGGTGACAGAGCAAGACTCTGTTTAAACAACAACAACAAAACATAGATATATATATGGCATGTCCCAAGACGTGTCATTTGATTAACTGCCTTTGTCTGTTTCTGAAAGAACTGCTTTTTGCTTTGTGCTTCTCACAGCCTTGTAAGTTTGAAAGGAGCCTGCCTCCTCCCTCAGGTGCTCAGCCATTTTGGAGGTGAATCCGAGCAGGACCGCTGTGTACACCTAACATAAACTCCTGCGACCTCAGTGTTCTCTCCAGTCTCTTGAGTTTTGCAACAATAGTATATATTTTTTTCTTTTTTTAAAAAAATTCTTTTTTCTTTTAATTAAAGACAGGGTTTTACCATGTTGGTCAGGCTGGTCTTGAACTCCTGACCTCAGGTGATCTGCCCGCCCTGGCCTCCAAAGTGTTTGGATTACAGGCTTGAGCCACCGCGCCCGGCCTTGCTTTCTTGTCTCACTCTTGTCACCCAGGGTGGAGTGCAGTGGTGCAATCTTGGCTCACTGCAATCTCTGCCTCATGGGCTCAGGTGATCCTCCTACCTCAGCCTTCTAAGTAGCTGTTATTGGAAGGCAGGACTAAAATGTGAGATGTCCAGGTTTTTGGTTGTTGAACATAGAATTGAAGAAAAAAAAGAAAAAGAAAAAGAAAAAGAACCACAGACACAGACGTGCACCACACCTGGCTACGTTTTTGTGTTGTTGGTGGAGACAGGGTTTTATTATGGTGCCCAGGCTGGTCTCCAACTCCTGAGCTCAGGCGATCCACCTGCCTTGGCCACCCACAGTGCTGGGATGACAGGCGTGAGCTACTGCACCCAGCCTCTGCCTGGGCTTTGGTGAGGGCTGGGTCTGTGCCCTGAAGGGGAGCTCATTCCAGCCCAGCTTCCCATTGATGCCGTGTGTGTGTTGGGCTTCTGCAGGAGGGGAGTAGGTTCTAAAGAAAGGATTCAAAAATTCACTTAGTTTTCTTGTAGGAGTTTATCATCCCTGGTGCAGTGGACAGACGAGGGGACCATATTTCCTCAGGGTGAGGTCTCTTTAATATGTGTCGTCGTGTTACAGGGCGGGGGTGTGTTGATTCTGAGCCACAAACATATTTTATAACATTCAGGATTGACTTTTTTATTTTTATTTTTTTAGAGACAAGGTTTCACCATGGTCTGGATCTCTTGACCTCGTGATCCGCCCACCTTGGCCTCCCAAAGTGCTGGGATTACAGGCGTGAGCCACCGCACCCGGCCTCAGGATTGACTTCTAAAGACTCTGGATACATGAAGAAGAAACCCGGAAGAGGAAGAGGAAAGCAAAGGAGTCAGGGATGGCTCTCCCTCAGGTGAGATGACCTTCTCGGTGGATTGTTCTGTCTCCTTCCTGCTTGCAGTTGGGAATCTTCTCTGAGTCTGAAGCGTCCTGCCTGACAGGTTTGCTGGCACTCACCCATGCCTTCCCTCAGTCCCTCATCTCACTAGATTACACCCCCCGTGATCCAGTGACATGAGCTTGGGAAGAGGCTGCACTGGGCATGGTCCTGGGAAGGGCTCACCCAAGACGTGGATGGAGATGGGGTGTGGCCCCGTGGTGTCAGGTCTGTTGGGCAGCAGGGATTGTTCAGGGGCCACATCGGGATGCTCCATCAGCTCTCTGTAGACCAGAAGTAGAGCAGCTGTCCATGGAAGTTACGTATTAATGTGCACAAAGGATGTGGTAAATTTTCTGAAGGGTGACCAGTAAGGGGAAATCTTTTCTGCCTGATTTTATGCTACATGTTTAGGTAATAGAGTGAGTTACTGTGTTTATCATTCCAGAAATCTTACTAATTAGAATGGAGCGCTCATACACAGACATGAATGATACAAGGGGTTTTATTCCATTAGTTTAAGTGTGTGAAACCAACCTAAATAATAGCAGGAGAGGCCAGGTGCGGTGGCTCATGCCTGTAATTCCAGCACTTTTGGAGGCCAAGGCGGGTGGATCACGAGGTCAAGGGATCGAGACCATCCTGGTCAACATCGTGAAACCCCATCTCTACTAAAATTACAAAAAAGTAGCTGGGCATGGTGGTGTGTGCCTGTAATCCCAGCTACTCAGGAGGCTGAGGCAGGAGAATTGCCTGAATCCAGGATGCAGAGGTTGCGGTGAGCCGAGATCGCGCTATTGCACTCCAGCCTGGGTAACAAGAGTGAAACTCCGTCTCAAAAAAAAAAAAATAATAATAATAATAATAATAGCAGGAGATCCATTAAACCTTTTTTTTTTTCAGATGAGGTTTCACCATCTTAGCCAGGATGGTCTTGAACTCCTGACCTCATGATCCACCTGCCTCCGCTTCCCAAAGTGCTGGGATTACAGGTGTGAGCCACCACGCCCAGCCTCATTAAACCATTCTTAGCACAATAAGCTGATGGAGACTGTGGTGTTATGGTGGAGAGGCTTTGAAACGTGTTTTCCATAAAATTGGTTATATTTGTTTTCAAATATGGTAGCAGTATTTCATTTTTATTATAAAAAATTGAGCCTTTTTTTTCCTCCTCACCTGTTCGGGTTTATTGAGGGCATTAAGGGTTACAATGGAGCCCTGGTCATCTGGGGACGAGGCCTGGCATTTGCTGGCCAGTGAGTGACCCAGTGAGCAGCCAAGGATGGGGCCTCCACCACCCTGTTTACTTGGAAGTGTGGCTCTTGGCTTCACCCTGCCCCAAGCCTTTAGGCCCAAACATGGCCATGTAGCAGCGGTGGTTGTAGCAGGGTTTGCTCTAGTGCTCTGCACGTTTCCCAGAGGTCAGTGTCTTCCCACATTTCTCGCATTTCAGGCAGAGCCGATGCCAGTACTTGCCCAGAGAGGTCACCCTCTCGGCGAAGTACACCTCCTTGTCCACACTTGGAGCACGTAGGCATGGTGGCTTTGGGTCTGGTGCGCGCAATAGCGGCCAGGGAGGGAAGGGCTGCAAGCGTGAGACTCAGAGCCATATTCTCATTCCACCTATTATTATTATTATTATTATTTATTTTACTTTTTTTTTGAGACAGAGTCTCGCTCTGTCTCCCAGGCTAGAGTGCAGTGGCGCGATCTCAGCTCACTGTAATTTCTGCCTCTTAGGTTCAAGCAATTCTCCTGCCTCAGCCTCCTGAGTAGCTGGGATTATAAGCATGTACCACGATGCCCCACTAATTTTTTTTTTTGAGACGGAGTTTCACTCTTGTTACCCAGGCTGGAGTGCAATGGCACGATCTCGGCTCACCGCAACCTCCGCCTCCTGGGTTCAGGGAATTCTCCTGCCTCAGCCTCCTGAGTAGCTGGGATTACAGGCATGCGCCACCACGCCCAGCTAATTTTTTTGTATTTGTAATAGAGACGGGGTTTCACCATGTTGGCCAGGATGGTCTCGATCTCTTGACCTCGTGATCCACCCACCTCGGCCTCCCAAAGTACTGGGATTACAGGCTTGAGCCACCGTGCCCGGCCTTGTTTTGTATTTTTAGCACAGACAGAGTTTCACCATGTTGGCCCAGCTGGTCTCAAACCCCTGACCAGCCTGCGGTCAGGCAAGGCTGATCTGCCCATCTCTACCTCCCAGATTGCTGGGATTACAGGCGCCAGGTATTGTGCCCAGCCCCCCCAATTATTATTATTATTATTATTATTTTTTTTTTTTTTTTTTGAGACGGAGTTTCGCTCTTGTTACCCAGGCTGGAGTGCAATGGCGCGATCTCGGCTCACCGCAACCTCCGCCTCCTGGGTTCAGGCAATTCTCCTGCCTCAGCCTCCTGAGTAGCTGGGATTATAGGCACACACCACCATGCCCAGCCAATTTTTTTTTGTATTTTTAGTAGAGACGGGGTTTCACCATGTTGACCAGGTTGGTCTCGATCTCTCGACATCGTGATCCACCCGCCTTGGCCTCCCAAAGTGCTGGGATTACAGACTTGATCCACCGCGCCCGGCCAAGTATATACTTTTATATTTAAACACCACATGATGTACACATTTGTTTTGTGGTAAAGCTTCAAGCAAAGCTGCAGCTTAGACCCTTGGCCATAAAGCACCTCCTTTCCCTGTAACGTCCTCCACCCTCCTTCCAGCCTCACCGGGGACCCACTACTGTCAGTTCTGTGTCAGGTATCAGAGGAAGTGTCATGCTTGTGTACTCTGTCATGAGACTTAAAAAAAAAAAAACCTGCAACAAATTAAAAAACATTAAAAATTTTTTTTTTTTATTTTAGTTTTGATGCTGCATGTGAAGGTTTGTTACACAGGTAAACTTGTGTCATTGAGGTTTGCTGTACAGATTATTCCATCATTCTGGTATTGAGCCTGTTAAAACATGTGCTCTGAATGAAGAGACGCCCCTAAACAGGCTTTCTGTGAGCCATGTGGCTGTTTATTCACCTGGGAGGGGGCAGGTTGAGTGTGAAGAGAGTCAGCCAAGAGTGGTGGGATAGGAGTTGGTTTTATAGGTTTGGGGTAAGCAGTGGAAAGTTACAGGAGTTACAGTTTAGGGTGATTTTTGCAAGCTGGGAGGGGGTCTTAGAATCTAGAGTCCTGAGGTTGACCCAGGTCAGTTTCAAAGACCAGTTGCCTTATCACTTGAGACAGAAATAAGGAACAATAGAGAATGTCTCAAAGCTAAGTAGGATCTGCATGGGGTGATTATTTTTTCTCCCTTCTATGGTTTTCCATTTGCTTCAGACTCTAGTTCTGGGAGGCCATTCAGAGGTGTACATGCGGGTCACGGGGGTTGCTATGGCTCGACGTAGGGTATGCCTTGTGATGCAGCCAGTTAGCCTAAAAGACCTTGCAAAGCGTAGTACCCAATAGTTTTTTTTTTGCTTTTGTTTTTGTTTTATTTTTTGAGATGGAGTTTCGCTCTTGTTACCCAGGCTGGAGTGCAATGGCGTGATCTCAGCTCACCGCAACCTCCGCCTCCTGGGTTCAGGCAATTCTCCTGCCTCAGCCTCCGGAGTAGCTGGGACTACAGGCACACGCCACCATGCCCAGCTAATTTTTTATATTTTTAGTAGAGACGGGGTTTCACCATGTTGACCAGGATGGTCTCGATCTCCTGACCTCGTGATCCACCCGCCTCGGCCTCCCAAAGTGCTGGGATTACAGGCTTGAGCCACCGCGCCCAGCCTAACATTTCTATAATGGGAATGCTGCATCGATTTTTTGTTTGTTTATTTCTTGTATTATCCACAACCATAAGAAATGTAACCGAGAAAGTATGATGACCTCTTCAAAAAGTATAATAAACACAACCTGGAAGACATAATGTGGTAAAAAATCCCTTTCTCGATTTGTCAGAACATTCCCCACAATTAAATCCCTGCTTTCACCTCTCTCCTCTTCTCATTCTCTGTAAAGATCAGAACTCCTCCCATTACCTTGTGGTTAAAATTTGGTTTCAGGCCGGGCGTGGTGGCTCAGGCCTGTAATCCCAGCACTTTCAGAGGCCGAGGCGGGTGGATCACAAGGTCGAGAGATTGAGAGCAACCTGGTCAACATGGTGAAACCCCGTCTCTACTAAAAATACAAAAAAAATTAGCTGGGCATGGTGGCGCGTGCCTATAATCCCAGCTACTCAGGAGGCTGAGGCAGGAGAATTGCCTGAACCCAGGAGGCGGAGGTTGCAGTGAGCCGAGATCGCGCCATTGCACTCCAGCCTGGGTAACAAGAGTGAAACTCCGTCTCAAAAACAAAACAAAACAAAAACAAAAACAAAAAAAAAAACGTGGTTTCATAGGGCTGGGCGTGGTGGCTCACACCTGTAATCCCAGCACTTTGGGAGGCTGAGGCGGGTGGATCACGAGGTCAAGAGATCGAGACCATCCTGGTCAACATGGTGAAAGCCCGTCTCTACTAAAAATACAAAAAATTAGCTGGGCATGGTGGTGCGTGAGGCGGAGGTGGTGGTGAGCCGAGATCGCACCATTGCACTCCAGCCTGGGCAACAGGAGTGAAACTCTGTCTCAAAAAAAAAAAAAAAAAAAAAAATATGTGGTTTCCTTTCAGGGTCTATTGACATTCAGGGATGTGGCTATAGAATTCTCTCAGGAGGAGTGGAAATGCCTGGACCCTGCTCAGAAGACTTTACACAGGGACGTGATGCTGGAGAACTACAGGAATCTGCTCTCCCTGGGTGAGTCCAACTTCCCCCAGAAGCGGGGATGTGCCCTTGCGTGTCTTTGTATTTTCTCTTGTTGCCTCTTGGGAGCTGCATCCTTGCTTGACTAAAATGGAAGCCGTATTGATTTTGAAATGAACAGCTTCATGACGCAGCATCTGGAATTTAACTGTCCCCGCCCTTTTCTTTTCCTTTTATTTTTTTGAGACGGAGTCTGGTTCTGTTACCCAGGCAGAAGTACAGTGGCATGATCTCGGCTCACCACAACATCCGCCTCCAGGGTTCAAGTCATTTTTTTTCCCCAGCCTCCCAAGTAGCTGTGACTACAGGTGCCTGCCAAGATGCCTGGCTGTCGGGGACCGTCCGGGACGGGTAGGCACATCTGCTCGGGGTCTCTCGACCTGCAAGAGGGTCCCAATACCTGGAAGAGGGAGTGCGCCTGGAAAAATAATAGACAGAGAGAGAGAAAGCGAGGCGTCTGGAGGGCTGATAGGCTGTGCCTAAACAACAAACTTTATTTTTCAAAGGCCAGGAATAAATACACTTTCTTGGCTCTGGTTTACCTCATAGCAAGAGGAAATGCAAATGTATACCTCACATGGCCTATACAATAGAGAAGTCAGATATGCAATCAGTGATTGTAAAAAGTAACAATTTTCTGTAATCACAAAGCTTGTTTACATCCAAACATTATTCCTCCTGGCTGCAGGTATCTCTGGTTTGATCTTGTTTTAGAACTGAGATGTGAAAAGGTTTTTTTTGGTTTTGCTTATCAGAATATCTTTTAACCGGATTCTCCTTTGTCTGCTCCTGACTCAACTTAACTCAACTTCCCCATTCAGGAGTCTCTAAGTCAGAAATCAAAGCCATCCCTTATGGTGGCATTTGCTTTGCAAATATCGACAGTTAAACCATTATCTAGGGTACAAGGCAGTCAGGTAAGTAAAGAAAAAGGTTTAAGGCTTATTCTTTTTTTTTTTTTTTTTTTTTTTTTTGAGGCAGAGTTTCGCTCTTTACCCAGGCTGGAGTGCAATGGCGCGATCTCGGCTCACCGCAACCTCCGCCTCCTGGGTTCAGGCAATTCTCCTGCCTCAGCCTCCTGAGTAGCTGGGATTACAGGCACACGCCACCATGCCCAGCTAATTTTTTTGTATTTTTACTAGAGACGGGGTTTCGCCATGTTGACCAGGATGGTTTCGATCTCTTGACCTCATGATCCACACGCCTGGACCTCCCAAAGTGCTAGGATTACAGGCTTGAGCCACCGCGCCCGGCCTTTAAGGCTTATTCTTAAAGAGTCATAAAAAAGTTAAAACCAGGAACTGGTTGCCAGCAGGGGGTCACTCGGTCTAGCAGCAACACATAGTTTTAGGCCCAAATGATATTGTGGTTGATGTTAGAAACTGATCATTCATCTTTCAGATCCTCTTTCCGGATAGCTCGACTGCCTCCAGTAGGAAACTGTGTTTGGGATGAAACTCACCATATAGTGAGAGTCACGCCTTTTGGGGGTCTCACACGGGAATCTTCCCCTCACCTGGCTAATTTTTTTTATTTTTAGTAGAGACGGGGTTTCACCATATTGCTCAGGCTGGTCTTGAACTCCTGACCTTGTGATCCTCCTGCTTCAGCTTCCCAAAGTGCTAGGATTAGAGGCGTGAGCCACCACACCCAGCCAGTCTTTCTTGTTTAGAAATCATGTGTTCTTTATGATATCTCAGTGTACGTTCCAGAACTAAAGTAGACATAAAACCCTATGGCAGGCCACGCATGGTGACTCACACATGGACACCTCAATCCCAGCCCTTTGGGAGGCTGAGGGGTGTGGATCACATCAGGTCAGGATCTGAGACCACCAGCCTGGCCAACATGGCAAATCCCCATTTCTACTAAAAATACAAAAATTAGCTGGGCGTGGGCACACCTGTAGTTTCAGCTACTAGAAAGTGAGAGCATGGAGAAGCACTTGAACCCGAGAGGTGAAGGTTGCAGTGAGCCAAGGATGTGCCACTGCACTCCCGTCTGGGTGACAGAGTGAGATTCTGCCTCTAAAAACAAAAACAAAACCTTATGGCAGAGTTTAAAGGTACCAAGTTAGTTCTGGCCAGGTGCAGTGTTGCATACCTGTATCCCAGCACTTTGACAGGCCAAGGCAGGCAGATCACCTGTGGTCTGGAATTCGACACCAGCCTGACCACTCCATCTCTGCTAAAAGTAGGCCGGGTGCCGCGGCTCAAGCCTGTAATCCCAGCACTTTGGAAGGCTGAGGCGGGTAGATCACGAGGTCAAGAGATCAAGACCATCCTGGTCAACGTGGTGAAACCCCGTCACTACTAAAAATACAAAAAATTAGCTGGGCATGGTGGCGCGTGCCTGTAATCCCAGCTACTCAGGAGGCTGAGGCAGGAGAATTGCCTGAACCCAGGAGGCAGAGGTTGCAGTGAGCCGAGATCGCGCCATTGCACTCCAGCCTGGGTAACAAGAGCAAAAACTCCTTCTCAAAAAAAAAAAAACAAAAAAAAAACAAAGATAGCTAGGGGTGGTCGCTCATGCCTGTAATCCCAGCTACTCAGGAGGCTGAGGCAGGAGAATTGCCTGAACCCGGGAGGCGAAGGTTGCACTGAGTCAAGATAGCATCATTGCACTTTAGACTAAGAAACAAGAGCAAAAGTCTCTCTAGGCTGGGCGCAATGGCTCAAGCCTGTAATCCCAGCAGTTTGGGAGGCCGAGGCGGGTGGATCACAGGGTCGAGAGATCGAGACCAACCTGGTCAACATGGTGAAACCCCGTCCCTACTAAAAATACAAAAAAAAAAAAAAATTAGGCCGGGCGCGGTGGCTCAAGCCTGTAATCCCAGCACTTTGGGAGGCCGAGGCGGGTGGATCACGAGGTCGAGAGATCTAGACCATCCTGGTCAACGTGGTGAAACCCCGTCTCTACTAAAAATACAAAAAATTAGTTGGGCATGGTGGTGCCTGCCTGTAATCCCAGCTACTCAGGAAGCTGAGGCAGGAGAATTACCTGAACCCAGGAGGCGGAGGTTGCAGTGAGCCGAGATCGCGCCATTGCACTCCAGCCTGGGTAACGAGCGAAACTCCATCTCAAAAAAAAAAAAAAAAAAGTCTCTCTAAAAAAATTTTAAAGACAGGTATCTAGTTTCCTGTTTGCTACTTATATGTTTTTTTGATTCTGTAGTGCTTGGAAGGAAGCTCGATTTACACATACTACAGTCCTCTTTATGTATTCAGAAGGAGGCAGTCAGTGGAGGAATTTGTGAAATATTTTCCTCGATCCATCTGTAATGTCTTCTTTCCTGCTGAAACATAGGGCTGGGACTCCAGAAAAGCTGCAGCACATCATGTTTCCTTCTTTTTATAAGCAGGAGCCTCTTTCTGACCTGTTTATTCATGTTGGAGCCAGGGAAAGAGCCCTGGACTGTGGAGAGTCAAGTGAAAATATCCAGCTGAGTGGGAATGTATTACAGGTGTTAACACAGTTGGAGCTCAGAGCAGCACAGTGGAACCCACACCTTTAAATAGAGTGTGGGGAAACTCTGCAAGTGGGAGAATTCTGTGAGGAAAGAGAAGTTTAAATCTGGGGATCTCTGAATGGACCTCTTTCTTTGCTCCCACTTGTTTCTCTGCTCTTTATTGATTTAACGAGTTTTTTTATAAAAGCGCTAGTCCTGTTCCCTAGTAGTCAACACCCAAATTCTCTCAAAGGTCCCATCCGTAGGAACATCCTATTGGAGAATAAGAACTCTCAACATGGCTTTCGGCCAATACGAACATTCAGACCAGGGAGCCTGCATTATGATTTTTATGTTTTTATTGTGCGTTGGGTTTTATGCAGTGTTTTCTCTGATCTCAGTTTATGAATTTTCCCAGTACACATTCTGTGTTTTATATTTTGTGTGTAGTAGACTAGATAAATAATGCAATACATATACATAGAATTGGTGTATTGCCTGGCTGTGACACACTGGAGATGTGACATCATAATTGCAAGCTCTGATATTATTAGGCAATTTTTTTTTTTTTTTTTTTTTTTTGAGGTTCAGTCTTACCTTGTCATCCAAGCTGGAGTGCAGTGGTGCAATGTTGGCTCACAGCAACCTCTGCCTCCTGGGTTCAAACTGTTCTGCAGCCTCAGCCTCCCAAGAAGCTGGGAATTACAGGTGCCACCTACCATGCCCAGATATTTCTTTTTTGTAATTTTAGTAAAGACGGGGTTTCACCCTGTTGGCCAGGCTGGTCTTGAACCCCTGACATTGTGATCTGCCTGCCTCAGCCTTTCAAAGTGCTGGGATTACAGGCATGAGCCACTGTGCATGGCTGTAAGTCAATTCTTATTCCTTATAATGCTGTGTATTTTCTTGACCTCATATATCACAAGGTAGTGATTTTTTTTTTTTTTTTTTTTTTTTTTTTCTCGAGACGGAGTTTCGCTCTTGATACCCAGGCTGGAGTGCAATGGCGCGATCTCGGCTCACCGCAACCTCCGCCTCCTGGGTTCAGGCAATTCTCCTGCCTCAGCCTCCTGAGTAGCTGGGATTACAGGCACGTGCCACCATGCCCAGCTAATTTTTTTGTATTTTTAGTAGAGATGGGGTTTCACCATGTTGACCAGGATGGTCTCGATCTCTAAACCTCGTGATCCACCCGCCTCAGCCTCCCAAAGTGCTGGGATTACAGGCTTGAGCCACCGCGCCCGGCACAAGGTAGTGATCTTAACATGCATTCCGTTCTTATATTGTGTGCTGGTGGTAAGTAGAAGTTGAGGCTTTAGTCTTATTTTTGAGATAGAGTCTTGCTCTGTCGCCCAGGGTAGAGTGCAGTGGCACAACCTTGCTCACTGCAACCTCCATCTCCTGGGTTCAAGCGATTCTCCTGCCTCACCCTCCCAAGTAGTGGGGATTACAGGTGCCCACCACCACACCTGGCTAATTTTTGTATTTATAGTAGAGATGGGGTTTCACCATGTTGGCCAGGATGGTCTCGATCTCTAAACCTCGTGATCCACCCGCCTCAGCCTCCCAAAGTGCTGGGATTACAGGCATGAGCCACCGTGTCCAGGTCCAGAGTTCTGCAGGCTGTATAAATGTATTATTTGCTTGCTGATTTTATCATAAATTACAATCTTTTACTAATTAATTTTTGAGATTATACATATGGCTTTTCAATATGTAGTAAGGAATATAACTGACGCATTCCACTCATTAATGTCACAGTGTGCCGCCAGGCACAGTGGCTCACACCTGTAATTCCAGGATTTTGGAAGGCCAAGGCTAGTGGATAATTTGAGGCCAGGAATTTGAGACCAGCCTGGCCAACATAGTAAAACCCCATCTCTACTAAAAATACACAAGTTAGCTGTGCATGGTGACACGTGCCTGTAATCCCAGCTACTTAGGAGGCTGAGGCAAGAGAATCGCTTGAACCAAGGTGGCAGAGGTTGCAGTGAGCCGAGATCACACCTCTGCACTCCAGCCCGGGTGACAGAGCAAGACTCCATCTCAGAAAAATAAAAATACAGAGGCCAGACATGGTGGCTCATGCCTGTAATTCCAGCACTCAGGGAGACTGAGGTGGGTAGATCACGAGGTCATGAGATTGAGACCATCCTGGCTAACACAGCAAAACACCGTCTCTACCAAAAATACAAAACATTAGCTGGGTGTTGTGTCACGTGCCTGTAATTCGAGATCCTCAGGAGGCTGAGGCAGGAGAATCTTTTGAATCTGGGATGCGGATGTTACAGTGAGCCAAGATCATGCCACTGCATTCAGTCTGGGTGACGGTGCGAGACACCATCTACGTAAAATAAAATTTAAAAAATTTTGACAAAAATGTTACAAAGCACCTCTTCTGCATGGATATAGGTAATTTTGTGACAGTTATTCAAGCTCACTGCAAGCTCTGCCTCTTGGCGTCAAGCAATTCTCTTGCCTCAACCTCCCAAGTAGCTGAAAGTACAGGTGTGGGCCACCACACCTGACTGATTTTTGTGATGTTTTCTCATCTTCTCAGTGCTATGATTATTTGACAGTAGAAAATTTACATTGATTTTGGTTATGCTTACATGATCTCGTGAATGATTTACCAATGTTGCTTATTGTGTGGTCCATTAGCATTTATCTGTATACAGTAAATATGCTTTAAATATGAAGAAATATATTTTTCTCTTCCTGGAACATGACAGTGATTTTTTGTAAGCTGTTAAACACATTATAGTCATAGTGGAAATATACTCTTTAGGTTTACACATATTGGTGTCCTGTCAGTGTTTTGTCATGATACTGAAAATAGTCTTCCATAGAAATGGTTTCAAGTACATATAATCATCCTTTATTTATTAAAGAATCTTACTTCTGCTGTGTTCCTAAACTTTGAAGATCATGTCGTGGAAGTTTACAATAAGTATTGTTTTTTTTGTGTCGTATTTACATATTTCAGTATTATTTACCATCTGTACTGAATTGGAAACCTGTTGTTGTTTATGTTTTGTAGATATCTCTTCCAAATGCATGATGAAGGAGTTCTCATCGACGGAGGAAGGCCATACAGAAGTGTTCCACACAGGGACATTGCAAAGACATGAAAGTCATCACACTGGAGATTTTTGCTTCCAGAAAACTGAGAAAAATATTCATGACTTTGAGTTTCAGAGGCAAAAGGATGAAAGAAACAGTCGTGAAGTACCCATGACAAAAATCAAAAAGTTGACTGGTAGTAAAGACCAATATGATGACAGGCATTCTGGAACCAAGCCTGTTGAAGATCAGGTTGGATTAAGCTTTCATTCACATCTGTCTAACCTGCACGTATTTCATAATGAGGGGAACATCGATAATCAACTAGAGAAGTCTATAAATGACGTTTCCTTAATTTCAACTTCCCCAAGAATTTTTTGTAGGCCCAAAACCCATATTTCTAATTACTGTAGGAATAATTTGCTTCATTCATTACTGATAGAAAGAGAGGAGGTACACGTGAGAGAAAAATCTTTGCAATGTAATGAGAGTGGCAAAGCCTTTAATTGTAGCTCACTCTTAAGGAAACATCAGATAATCCATTTAGGAGAGAAACAATATGAATGTGATGTGTGTGGCAAGGTCTTTAATCAGAAACGATACATTGAACGCCATCGTAGATGTCACACTGGTGAGAAACCTTACAAGTGTAATGAATGTGGCAAGAGCTTCTGTCACATGTCGTATCTTGTATGCCATCTTAGACTTCATACTGGAGAGAAACCTTACAAATGTAATGAGTGTGGCAAGACATTCCATCAAAGTTCAGGCCTTCTATTTCATAAGAAAATTCACACTGGAGAGAAACCTTACAAATGTAATGAATGTGGCAAGGTTTTTAATCAAAAATCACACCTTACACGTCATCATAGACGTCATACTGGAGAAAAACCTTACAGATGTGAAGAATGTGACAAAGTTTACACTCGCAAATCATACCTTGAAGTACACAGGAGAAGTCATACTGGAGAGAAACCATAGATATGTAACTTTTGTGACAAGGCTTTTGGGTGTGCTTCACATCCGGCAAGACATACTAGAATCCACACTGGAGAAAAACCTTACAAGTGTCATGAGTGTGGCCAAACCTTTAGTGGACAGTCAGCACTTATTCATCATCAAGCAATCCATGGTATAGGGAAACTTTTCTAATGTAATGATTGTCACCAGGTCTTCAGTAACGCTACAACCATTGCAAATCATTGGAAAATCCATAATGAAGACAGATCTTACAAGTGTAATTGGTGTAGCAAATTTTTCAATCTTTCATACCTTGTCATTCATCAGTGAACTGATACTGGATAGAAACTGTATAAATGTAATGATTGTGTCAAGGTCTTCAGTCTAGCTTCATCTTTTTTTTTTTTTTTTGAGACGGAGTTTCGCTCTTGTTACCCAGGCTGGAGTGTAATGGTGCGATCTCGGCTCACCGCAACCTCTTCCTCCTGGGTTCAGGCAATTCTCCTGCCTCAGCCTCCTGAGTAGCTGGGATTACAGGCACGCGCCACCATGCCCAGCTAATTTTTGTATTTTTTGTAGAGACAGGGTTTCACAATGTTGACCAGGATGGTCTCGATCTCTTGACCTCGTGATCCACCCGCCTCGGCCTCCGAAAGTGCTGGGATTACAGGCTTGGGCCACCACACCCCGTGAGTTAAAGTATTAATTGACATTAAAGTTTTTATGTTAAGAGGATTAAGCCAGGCATGGTGGCTTTTTACGAGCATTGTGTTGAATGTCAATCACATTGGGTAATAATATTTTTCCAATCCATCAATATGGGTTGTATCTCTATATATGTTTGTAATCAATATTTGTAGATTTCAAAGTACAATCTTCTCACCTTTTTACATTTATTCCTAAGTATATCTTACTTTAAGTTGTTTAGCAAATGGAAGTGTTTTCTTAATTTTCTTTTAAAATTGTTTATTGTTAATGTATGGAAATTCAGCTAAGTTTTGCTACTGATACTGTATTCTGCAAATACACTGAATGTATTTATTAGTCATAGTGGTATTTTGGTTGACTGATTTTCTACACAGAAAACCATGTCATCTACAAACATTTTCTTTCCTTCTTTCTGATTTCGATGAGTTTTATTTCTATTGCTATTTAATTGCTCTGGCTAAGACAGCCAGTATTTATTGATAGAAGGGTGAAAGCATTCGTGGATCATGTGAGATCCTACAGGAAGAGCATTCCTTTTTTTTTTTTTTTTTAATTGGTTATTTCCATCGTGGTCATTTCATGGAGGGTCTTTATACTGTTTAGGTAAATTTCCTTCTCTGTTTTGTTTAGGATTTCTACGATGACTGGATGGTGAGTTTTGTGAAATGCTTTTTCCATCTATTGAGATAATGTTTTCATCTTTCATTCTGTTCAAGTGGCATATATTGATTTGCTTGAATATGTTGAATCTTTTTTGCATCCTAGAAATAACTGGCAGTTGAATATCTATGATTCTTTTTATATCCTCTTGAATATGATTTGATAGTAAAAGGGGTCTTCAAGAAGTTAATGGAAAAATACATATTATGAGAAAATTATACATGAATTTCATACTTTTTGCACCAAAATAAACTGGTACAGATCTGTTATAACATGTCTGAACTGGCTGTAGTTTGAGGCACTCAGAAGGGTAAGAGATGAGTTTGAAAAGGGACTCTATCTAAGCAATATGATTTCTGCTAAAATTGAAACAAGAAGAAACAACAAATTTACAATGAGGCAAGAACAAAGAAAACACCTCAAATAAATTACAATTGGATGGATGTGGTGACTCACCTGAAATCCCAGCACTTTGGAAAGCCAAGGGGCGAAGATTGCTGGAGTCCAGGAGTTCAAGGCTGGCCTGAGCATCATAGTGGGACCTCACCTCTACAAAATATTAAAAAATTACCCAGATGTGGTTGTGAGGACCTGTGGCCCCAGCTAGTTGGGAGGTGAGGTGGGAGGATCCCTGGATCCCAGAGGACGAGGGTGCAGTGACCAGTGTTCCCACTACTGCATCCCAGCCTGAGTGACAAAACTATGTTCTGTCTCAAGAAAAAAAAAATTTAAACTTGAAAATAAAAAGTGCATTTTCTAACTATTTTCAGAAGTTAGGTAAAGTGAATGTAACATTACATTTAGAAATTATTTGGCCGGGCGTGGTGGCTCATGCCTGTAATCCCAGCACTTTGGGTGGCAGAGGTGGGTGGATCACCTGAGGTCAGGTGTTTGAAACCACCCTAAGCAACAAGGTGAAACCCCGTCTCTATAAAGAAAAAGAAAAAAAGAAATTATTCATATGTTTTTTAGCAACATTCATCGTACAAGTTTGTGATTATATTTCAGGGAAGAAATGTAAAAAAAAAGTATGTGAGAATGAACACAAAGCTCTGGTTTTTCTTATATTGCCTAAATTTCTATCTAAGGAGCCTGGGGGGACATGCCCTACAAACAATAACTACTCATCAGATGGGTTTTATTTAATCCCACATATCGTGTCTTACTTTCCAGTCTGATTCTGGCATAACATGTGACAAGAAAGTCAAAATATTTTACCCCACAGTATGCTTCTTTGCCATATTTTGAAATGGTCCTGCAAAGCTGTCCTTTGTTGGGGGCACATGAGCATCTCGAAACAATCTCTGTTAACAGAACTAGATTTTTTTCTTCTAAATCTTCTCAATCCTGAAGAGATTAAGTGAGAATCTAGCACCCTTTAATGGTCTGAATAGAAAACATTTGTCATCTATTACCTCTACGGGCAGCCAGTAGTAGTGAGGAAGGAGACCCTCAATCCTCTTCCGGCTTCTACATTGCATCTCAAAAGAAGTTAGAAGTCAGCCAGAGGAAGGCTGGCCAGCCAGGTTAAGAATAAAACCACCGGGCCTGGTGCGGTGGCTCAAGCCTGTCATCCCAGCACTTTGGGAGGCTGAGGCGGGTGGATCACGAGGTCAAGAGATAGAGACCATCTTGGTCAACATGGTGAAACCCCGTCTCTACTAAAAATACAAAAAATTAGCTGGGCATGGTGGCGCGTGCCTGTAATCCCAGCCACTCAGGAGGCTGAGGCAGGAGAATTGCCTGAACCCGGGAGGCGGAGGTTGCGGTGAGCCGAGATCGAGCCATTGTACTCCAGCCTGGGTAACAAGAGCGAAACTCCGTCTCAAAAAAAAAAAAATAATAATAATAAGACCCCTACTGCTAACCACAATCCCATCTATAGATCACAGATAATGATGTGGAGGAATCTTTCCAAAAGGCATTGTTTTTACTTAAACACGATACCACCCCAGCCCGCCTACGTTATGGATCTAGAACTTTACCATGTAATTTCTAGAGCTGTAAGCCCAAAAAAGGGCAAAGATTTTCTTTGTTGGGGGCTGGGCTGTCCCGGCCGAATGAATCACCCCTTCCTTCCCTGTTTAGTGTTTGAGAGCTTTGTTTTCTGGCGTTTCCTGCTTCGGTAGAAGACTTTAAAAGAACCTTGGTCTGCGCAATCTTATCTGAACCTGAACATTTTCTCTATTGATCCCAAGTATTCAGGCAAATTCTTTTTTTGTTTTCTTTTTTTTTGGGAGACGGGGTTTCCTCCCCATGTTGGTCAGACTGGTCTCTAACTCCCGACCTCAGGTGATCCACCCGCCTCGGCCTCCCAAAGTGCTGGGATGACAGGCAGGAGCCACCGCGCCTGGCCTGGTATTAGACAAATTCAACCAATTGTCAATCAGAAAATCTTTCCATTTATCTACAGCCCGGGAACCCCCGCTTTGAGTTCTCCCGCTTTTTTGTTTTGTTTGTTTGTTTGTTTGTTTGAGACGGAGTTTCGCTCTTGTTACCCAGGCTGGAGTGCAATGGCGCGATCTCGGCTCACCGCAACCTCCGCCTCCTGGGTTCAGGCAATACTCCTGCCTCAGCCTCCTGAGTAGCTGGGATTACAGGCACGCGCCACCATGCCCAGCTAATTTTTCGTATTTTTAGTAGAGACGGGGTTTCACCGTGTTGACCAGGATGGTCTCGATCTCTTGACCTCGTGATCCACCCGCCTCGGCCTCCCAAAGTGCCGGGATTACAGGCTTGAGCCATCGCGCCGGGCTGTCCCGCCTTTTTGAAGCAAAGCAATGTATTTCTTCAACGTATTTGATTGATGTCTAATGCATCCCTAAAATGTCTCAGAGCAAGTTGTTCCCATCACCCTGGGCACATATTCTCAGGACCTCCTGTGTCTCAGGCCATGGTCATTCATATTTAAAGAGAATTTCTATTCTGTTCAGTGGGCTGTCAGCCTGAAATTCTAAGTTTCGCTCAGGCAGGGCTTTGCATTTCGCTTTCTGGTTTGCATTCCTGCCCCAAACAACTTCGAGGCTTTGGAATTAAATTGCTAAAATTAAGTTCAATAGCAAGGAACGTTCCTGGATCCAATGACCTCCCCAGGTTAACGTCTCAGCAAGGTGTTATTTCTCGGACTGCTGAGTTGCTCCAGCGCCCCCTCGTGGATTTTGCCTGTAAAACCCGGAACACGCAGACCCGGAGAGCCGGATAGAGGGAATCTGAGGCCCCGCCCCCGCGGAACTCTCACGCCTCAGGCCCCTCCCCAGGTCTCTGGCAGTTTCCTTCCGGCCCTTTCCGCAATGAGCCCGCCCACCCCTCTGCGTCCTTTCCCGCCCTCACTCAGGCCCCGCCCACCCCTCTGCGTCCTCTCCCGCCCTTATTCAGGTCCCGCCCACCTCCCTGCGTCCTCTCCCGCCCTCACTGAGGCCCCGCCCATCTCTCTGCGTGCTTTCCCGCCCTCACTCAGGCCCCGCCCACCCCTCTGCGTCCTCTCCCGCCCTCACTCACGCCCCGCCCACCCCTCTGCCTCCCTTCCCGCCCTCACTCAGGCCCCGCCCACCTCGTCGGGGGTTCGCTCCAGGCCTGGCTTCCCTCCTGCGCCGTTTGGCACAGGCCCGGAAGTGGACGGTGCGCACCGACGGCGGCGCCGCGGCGCGTGAGTTTTGCTCTGTCAGTTTTGTCTGCGCTTCCGCGGCCTCTGGTGCTGCTATACCGGGGACGTGGGGCCCCCACAGACTCGGGAATGTTGGCCCCTTTTTCTCGACCCAGAGCATTTGCGACGTCCGGGTGAGAGTCCGTGGGTCGCTTCCTTTT